ACTTGGGTGTTGAGGAGAGAGGAGGAAAATGTACTGCAGAGGGCTGAAAGAGCTATAGTGAGGATGATGTGTGGGGTTAAAGTGAAGGATAGGAGGAGTAGTACAGAGCTGATGTCAATGATGGGACTGAATGAGGACATTGTGACATTGATAAGGAGATCGAGATTGCGGTGGTATGGACATATGTTGAGAAGGGATGAAAGGGTCGGGATTAGGCGAGCGTTGGAGTTCGAGGTTGAAGGAGTGGTAGGAAGGGGTCGTCCGCGATTGGGATGGAGAGAGCAGGTGGAGAAGGACAGGGTGAAAGCGGGGTTGCGTGATACTGAGGCGAGTGACAGATGTGGATGGCGTCGAGGGTTATTTCGGTTTCATCATAGGTTGCCAAACGGCAACCCCCGATCTTGGGGAAAATGCCGTCTAAACGTGTGTTGTTGTTGTAATATCATTAAACTCATTGTTAGAGAAACAATGAGATATGCAACAAACGATAAGAATAATCCAAATTTTACTGTCACAGGGAAAGATATAAAAGTTTTTTTGGGATTTTTAATCTTCAATGGGTATCATGCTTTGCCAAGCGAGCGAGACTATTGGAGTGAAAGTGAAGATTTAGGTGTGCAAGTTGTTAAAGATGCATTTAGCCGCAATTTTTATCGTGAATTGAAATGTTACATTCATTTTCAAGACAATTCAAAAGTGAAGGGCAATAAAAATGACAAAGCTTTCAAAATGAAACCTTTGATAGATAGGATAAATGTTAATTTTTAAAAATGGGGAGTTTTTAAAAAAAATCTCTCAGTTGATGAGATGATGGTGCGTTATTATGGTCGCCATGGACTAAAGCAATTTATCCATGGAAAACCAATAACATTTAGTTATAACCTCTGGTCATTGTGTGGCAGCAGTGGTTATTGCTTTAATTTTTCACTGTATTGTGGAAAAGAAAAAGAACAAACTACAGAACCCCTAGAAACCCGATTGGTATTCAAAATGCTGGACATAATTGAAGACCCTGAAAGCTATCACATTTACTTTGATAATTTTTTTCCAGCTATGATATTTTTGTGTCTTTAAGAGAAAAAGGCTATAGAGCAACAGGCACTATGCGAAATAATAAAACAAAAACGTGCCCTCTAAAAAAATGGAAAAAAGTCTAAGAGGAACTTTTGATTATCAGTTTGAAAATTCAGAACGAATTTTGATAGTTAAGTGGAATGACAACCGAGCTGTTACAGTTGGAACAAATTTTGATACAATTGAACCATTGTCGTCAGTATTTCGATGGAGTAAAGAAAAAAAAGAAAAGGTTCAAATTCCACAACCTTCAATAATAGCAAATTATAATATGGGTGGAGTTGATCATTATAATTGGCTTTTAGAAAGACACAGTATTTGTATAAGAGGTAAAAAGTGGTACTGGTGTTTATTTACAAGAATTTAGTTGACATGTCTATTGTCAACAGCTACGTTGCTTATGTAAAAACATATCCAAATGGTAATGTATCTATAAAAGACTATAGGAGAAATATAGCGTTACCCTATCTTAAATTAGGAATATGAAAACGTATATTAAAAGGGAGGCCAGTTTGTTTCCCATCAACATCAAAATCCATTGTTATGGATGATATTAGATTTGATGAAAAAGGCCACATTTTAGAGAAAAGACAAACTCAAAGAAGGTGTCAATTTGTCAGCTGCAGTGGAAAACCAAGAACATTTTGTAAAAAGTACAAAGTAACATTGTGTTTTTCTTGTTTTTCAAAATACCACAATAAATTTTTAAAATAAATTATTTAAATTCATTATCATGTTTAGAAAAAATATTTCAGATAACTATCTAAGAAAAAATGTTGTTTTTTGAAAAAAAAGAAAAAATATTGTTCATCTTTTTTATGAACTTTATTTGACCAGTGTCCTCAAACGAGGACATGCTTTAATTGCTGAACCAAAATTTAAAAATGTATTTCAAGTTTTTTTCTATGAATTTCAATGACTTATGAGCCACATAAAAGAGTATTTAAAAAAAAATTACATTTTAAATAAATTGGGCTTTAATGGGTTAATTTTATTTTCTCACCTATTTTACTTTAAAGTGTTGCAAAATGTGGTGCACATGAAATGATTTAAGAGATGTAAGAAACAAGTGACAACCCACCTCATCCTGAACTCTTCATCATGCAGCTTCGTACATTTGCCCAAATCGGCTTTTGTGTTGATGAATAGATCGTGAGGACAGAACCCACACAAAAAATACTTACACATCTGATGAATAAAACACATTTAGTAAGGAGAATATAAGGTAATAATTAAATTGAGAAACATTTTACAATGTAAATCTAAAAAACCCACCATGTCTGCTTACAATGTTACAGCAGTGTTATATATGAGCAAAATGGTTATAGCAACTAATTAAAAAAAATTTCATTATCATATAGAGCTGAATAGAAATTGCAAGCAAGTTGAAGCAACAAATGATGAGCAGATTTTATTTTTAGATGCAGACTGGTGATAATATGAACCTAATGGTGAATAAGATTGCCCAAAGACCATTCGATGAAACATTCTTACAAAATTTTAGAAACTTTCTCAACTCATTGACTTTTTATGATGAAAATTTAATTAAAAATCTTGAAAAATTTATAAAGACAATAATTGAATTTAATAAATTATAACAAAATCTATTAATTAATCAATTAATTTCAATAATAAAACAATGACAAAGATTAAATCCACATGGTTATATACATGAATCTAAACAAATCCTTCTTACCCTGGTCCAAATAAAAAAAACATTTTTAAGATAAGAATTCTTAAGTTTGCCTCAATCCTAATACAAATAAACTCCAAATATATTTGAAAACCCTAACAACTGATGAAAATTATTTAACTATAACTCAAGCTTCAACTGAAATTTTTGAAATAATTGACTCTAACTAAAAAAGAAAGAAAAGTAGTGGCTGGTTAATTGAAAAGTCAATCAGAACAGAATTGTATTTAACATCCCTTTATTTTGTTCTGTAGATTTTCATATTTTTGTATGCATTCAGATTCAGATGTTTATTAGTAAGAGTAACCCAATGTAATTTTTAGCTAGAATAAACAATTTTGTTATATGTGTATATTTTGAGTTTTTACACCTTTACAATGAAATCGGTGTGCAATTATCATGCTTCATAATTTCAAACTTCCATATTTGCTGCACAGTTTTCACGTTTTATACTGTCTAATTCTTCATGCTGTTCTGACACTTTTTGTACCGTCTAACTAAACTAAAGATGTAGAAATCAAACTTGGCGTGCGATTATCGAACTTGATATGAAAATGTCCTAGTACTGGATATGAGATTCTCATGCCTTATACTTTTCTAGCATTTCATTGTCAAATTCTCTTTTCATGCTTTATTTATAATTTTATATGATTATAAAATAATGTGAAAACGTCATATTGCACATGTAATTTTTACACTTATCATCTGAGAACATCGGTACATGGATCTCATGCCTTCAGCATCCTTATGTTGAATTAATTTTGTTTTGACATTTTCTTAGACATATACAAAATATTTTAACATGAAACTACAAAATTACTTCAAAATCAAAGCTAAGGCATCATGAAATATGCTTGTAAATTGTAATTTAAATTATAAAACAAATTTAAATAATACAATATATTTATTAATAATATAGTAAAAATAAGTAAATATTTGCCAGTTTTAAGTTATAAACTGGCATACTTTTTCGTCAGACCAATGATCTTTCTTCACAGATATATCATGAGGATTTGAGTCTCTGTTCCTTCCCATCAATTCATCCAACAACGCTGCAGCATAACTTGCCATCCTAATTTAATTTATAATTTAATCAGCGGAACCAACCAACGAATCCCAACCGAACGAACGAACGTTCCTCAAAAATAAATAATTCCAGTACAATACGAGTATGAGTATTGAAACGATATAAAGAACAACGTCTGTAGGT